TCATCAAGATTCAATTATTGTACAATTATTCGTTCAAAACAGAAGGTTGTAGCATGATGGATTGATGCTACCCTCCCATCAACATATCATTCAATATACAATTCTTTTAATTTGTCAAAATTAAACATTTTAAATCAACATATATGTTAAAACAGTTAATAACATAAGTTTCAACCAATTTGAAGGTGACCTCACACAACTTGGCGTTGACCATTAAAATAATTACTCTGCCCCGGGAAGTAGGTTTAACAATTTCTGTGTCTGTAGACAGCTCATCTAAAAGTTTAAAATTTAAGCAGCAGAAACAACGAACAAGACAAAAAGTGATCATGGAGAGTTGGGATGAATGGTATTTTAAAACTTGTTTGGGTTGAAAAAAAAGAGAAGTGCAGATGCTGTTAATTTCAGTCTGAGGTCTGATGTACGAAATCCCTATAAATAAAGTCCATTTTTTCGGATTATGCAACAGACTGACAAAAAGTAATCAACTAAATAAAGAAAATTTTAGATTTGCACAATATATAGATCCTAATCAATATTAGCTTAATATAATCTTATGAAGAGAATCATAGCTTTGAAAACGGCAAATATTTATAAACAAGCTGAAATGTATGCAAATATATATAGATCAAGCAAATTCTGGCATGTCAGATAAACATCCCCCCCCCCCCCCCGAGTTCTAGAAATTATTTTTCACTTTAAATCCCCCCCCCCCCAAAAAAAAAAAATTGCCTGATATTTCATGGAATGTTTTTTTGGGAAGCTAGAGACTGAAACGACATATTTGTATCTGCATATATTAGGAAGTAATTTGAGAGAGCCTCATTTATTTCCCACAAAGGTCTGATTTTAGCCGTGTGAGACCATACCTCTTTTGGAAAATTACAACAGCTGAAACTCCATTTATATAATCTGCTCTGTGGTTATAAAATGACAAGGAAAAATAACGGAAAAAATAGATTTCAGCATAATTTTAAAGAGGAAGGCATGCATCAATATTAACGTTTCCAAGAACTTGAAATGTAAAATATTGTAATATCACATGTGCGAAATGTTTAATTTTAACAAAATCATAAATTGATGTAGTGTCCTATCCAGTTAATATCTGACCATGAGCTTGTCTGCTTCAACAACAATCAATTGATAATGAATTTGGTACCAACCTTGTGGATTGGACTTGCAAACTTTATGGCACATACATCATGTTTGTCGATGAATCAGTCATTATTGGTGGGAAAGAGATGTGGAGGGTATTAAATTTTGTTAATTTGTCTCTGATTTTGACTCGCTTGACTAAAAGTAATGTTCAGAAACATTTATTTTAATTCCCCTACCGGTGAAACCGGAGGTGACTAGAGGTTTCATCTGAATATTTTGTAGTACATGTATGTGACTTGTGCCCCCCCTTTTTTTAGAACATCGAATGTTACATGTACTAGGTAGCTCAGTCGGTAGAGCGCTCGCTCCGTGATCGGGAGGTCGTGAGTTCGTATCTCGGCCGCAACTAACATAGTCGTTAAAATTGGTACATGTAGCAACTGTTCCTTCGCCATGCGCTCGGCACTTTGAAGTGAAAGTTGCGGGTCCTTCGGATGAGACCTTAAAAACCGAGGCAGGCGTTGGCACGATAAAGATCCCTCACTGCTCAATGGCTGGCCCTGAGTGTCGAGTAAAGGTAAAATTTGAAGCCCTTCACCGGAATACGGTGACGTCTCCATATGAGGGAAAAATTCTCGAGAGGGACGTTAAACAATATACACTCAATCAATCAATCAATCAATCATCGAATGTTACTAATCACATAAAACGTATTCTACACAGTTCGTGTTATATACATGTATTCTTAAATTGAAATACATTTTTAAAAATAGATGATGCATGAATCTAGTTTTACGTAGCCAACATTTACTTGAGGAATTGATAAAGTTAAAAAGGGTATCGTTTTGATTCGATTTTTATCCGATTTTAAGTTTTAAAAACACTCTCGACTATCGTCTGCATCATTTAGACGCATGCCTTTTTCATACATATCGAAGCAGTTTGTTGATCAAGACTCATTTCCATAGTTTACTTTATTCATTTCCCAGGCAACATTGTTATACCCCCCCCCCCGGTTGAAAAGCAGTAGGTTTTATAGTAATCGGTATGTCCGTCCGTCCGTCTGTCTGTCTTTTACGCTTTAGGGTACCCATATCTCTTATCCGTAACTCCTCTTTTACCACTGAATGAAATTTGATGAAACTTTCACAGAATCTTTATTACATATTGCCATGCATTGTGCTCCTACTATTTTACTTTTTGATCCGACACATATTTTGGGTTTCCGACAACAAAACATGGACACTGCCATTATATTCATATAGGAGGGGGGATTACATGTATCATTTAGTGAGCTCATAGATCACAGTACCTCTAGTTGATGGTTACATCAACGTTTTCTTGTTGTTTATAGGCTGACGAAATCTACAGAATGCTGTGCAGGCTATATATGGAATGAAAAGAAATCGATATGTCAAGGTAAGATTTCTCTCTTTTGTATACTTGTAACATTTTGGATCCAAAAAAAACTATTTTGTGTTTTTTACCAGTTAAATATTTGAACACTAAATTTAAGGAGACTGTCCGTTGAACAATTTCTTCAATATATACTTCATCCAACGGTTTTTATTTTAAATTGTAAATTGCTCTCAAACATAGAGTGTTCTATTGGTTATGTTGGATTTGGCTGTGACAAAAAGTGCCCATATCCGTCATTCGGGAAGGAATGTCTGTTTACATGTAATTGTAGCATAGTAGACTGCAGCTACAACTTGGGATGCGATATGAATGCAGGTAATAATCGGTTTTATATATTTACTTAACATAAAAGCGTGAATCCTTCTTTCGTTTTCAAGTAATATGAGTACAAAATAAATTCATTTCCTTGCATCATTTTCATTTCCTGTATTCTATTGTCTGATTGATTATGTTTACATATTCCCATTTTGTACTGTCAGTGAATGCAATTCACGTAAAATTCCTGATTTAGATAAAAGTCACTACTTGTAAGAAGTCATGTTTAATCATATTGTTGACATTGGAAGTTTTCAATGCTAATATTGTAAATGGTTGAAGTGTTATTTCAAAATATTAATTAACTCAAAAACAAATTCCTTTCTTCAAGCTAACACGAAACACCTAATACTAGTATCAAATTATACGTGTATGAGTAATGAAAATGAGTTTCATGTTTTCCCTGATAATTATTTTAGTAGACTATCATGATATGCTTTTTAGGTCTTCTGGGCCAAAGGCTCAAAGAGCAAATGCTATGGCCATTTGTGTGGTGTGCGTAAACTTTTTAAAATATGGGTCATTACTCAAGAACCCCTTGGCCAATCCTTGTTGAATTTGTCTACTTGAACATTTTTAGGCCTATGATCATCACACTTTGTATGTCAGTTGATGCATCTTGGGTCCTTGAACAATGTCAACTTAAACGTGGGTCACAGTGACCTCCTTTTTGAATATTATGGTTCATATCTTCTAAATATTTCAGGCAATTATTTCAGACAGTGAGAGGTTAAGAATCATCAAACCTAAATAATTGATGTATCTTAGGGCTTTTAAACATTTTTATTAAAGAAAAGGTTACAATGACCTACTTAAAAGATTGGCAGGCATTTGTTTTTATATTGTCAAAATATTTCTTTTTTCAAAATTATGTCGGGGTGGTAAACATTCGATTTTTTAATCCTAAAACAATAAATATAACAGTAAAAATTAATTATCAAAAAATTATCAAAATCCCTAGGGCAGAAATAATTAGACTCGGCCTCGTTAATAATTATTTGTAGGAGATAATATTATTAAGTTGATGTTTTTAGACAAGTAACAGTGAAATTACTCTCAAAAAGAACAAACTATTTTTGTTTTTAGAGTCCGAGTCCAGCTTTGTACAAAATGGTTCATCTACCCTTACTGTAGAGCCTCCGAAAGAAACTTCAACTCATCGACATATGAAAAAGCAAAAGGCAATATATCAAACTAAGGAACCAACATCTAGAAAACGGGAACTTATCATATCTATATTGTTAGTTAGTAGTCTAGCATTGATTTTGTTTGTTTTATACATCATGCTGTACTTAAATCAAAAAGGCCACATTTTACATGTATGTATAGCATAAAAAAACATATAACATCCATTTCGTTCTTCACATAACATCCTAAACGAATAAAGAAATCCACATAACGAATTGCATTGACAAGTCATCGTACTTTAACACAAACACACAGATATAAAGTGACAAAAGTAGAAATAAACATTTCTACACAGATCAAAATTAAGTAAATGCAAGGTGCCTACAGATTTATCAAATTGGAGAAATAAATTTCTTCAATGATGCTTAATACGTTAAGCTTGGTCAATTAAATTTATTCGGGGCATGATTTGTAGATAAACAAGATAAAACATTATATTTTGAAACCGTTATTTCAAACAAAATGTGAAGAAAATCGGTTATAAATATGGGAATGTTTTCAAGATCAGACAAAAGAAATTATCCTGATTTGCTTCTTTCGAGAAAAATGGCACTTTGTATGGTGTTGGTTTCTCCTTTGAAAAACATCTAATTTAATATAGGATTTGGAGTAACTTTTCATATGATTTCAATTTGAATTCCATGAAAATACATGTACCCGTTTTTCTTCAAATTCAATAAAAGCCGTAATGTAGGATTAATTAGTCTGCAATTTTTGTGAACATTAAATGCGTATGAAATACAGAGTGTGTTTGCAATGCTGCTTTTCACAATAATATGCACGGAAGCCCATCAGTACCAACCTGTATATTTAAAAGAAAAGTAATATACACTTTATTTTTGAAACGAACATGGAGATATACATGTATAATATTCAATCTCTTAAGATGCAAAATAAACTGAACGTAAGGTATGGTGTCCAGATGTATGAAAAAGCTCCATTAACTCGAGCGAGTCAACTCGAAGGCCTTTCAGGCCTTTGATTTTATCCTTTTAGAAAAGTCAATGCCTCTTCAAAAGGTGCTTTGGTAATATGCCGTGACAAAAGCAATTAAAAACGTCAATCTTGATGAATATCTGAAAAAAAAAAAACATTTAAAAAAAATCAATGACGCAGCTTTAAGTAATTCAATTTACACTAAATACAAAAAAAAAAAAAAAAAAAAAAAAAATAAAAAAAAAAAAATAAGCAGATCAAATATAATTTGTGCCCATTCTTTGTAATTGCAATACTTCAGCTAAAAACAAGATTGAATAAACTCTCAACTGCACAGCATTATAAGAAACAAAATTGTTGTTCAGTATACTTTGTCATTAAAAAGCGATTCCTGTAATTTTCATAAGAAGGAACATGAGAATCTTTCTCATAATAAGTTTTTTTTTATTTTCGTGTAGGAGAAATCAAATTCTTTTGTTGCAGACGTGTTTTGAAATATATGCTTTATTTCACAAAATAAGTAGGAATTGTTTTTAGTTAGTAGCAACTTTCGCGAATTTCATATTCATTAAAAAACAAGTTTATCAGCCAACACTCTTACATTTGGGTAATTCCGGATATATGTTTTTCTGAATCATCCAGCCATGATATGTTCAGCACATTCACTCTATTTCGATGATCATCAATGGTGGAATTATGAGGGGGTGACTTCAGTTTGAAACAGTCTGGATCTGCAAAAGTTGTAAATTTAACTAGATATCATGTTGATGTTAATGTGACGTATTTTCTATTGACAAGTAAATATGATTTCTGCCGTACTTGTCTGTGTATGTACATTTTTGATAAATGGAAATATTTTTAAAAAATTATGGATAATGAAAAAAAAACCAACTAAAATATTTTCTTATATTAAAAAGAAATCCTTACATTTGTAAACCTTGTTTGATTTATACAGATGAGGACAAGGTGTTGAAAATTTTGTACAATTCTGACGATTATATTGAATTTGATGTGCCCCAATGTTATATTCTGCACATTGATCTGAAAAAAATAAGTTATTTGAGTTAATATATTTTAAATTAATATAGAGCTTTGGTAAATATGCTGTGTTTTTTTCCCTGAGATCATAAGAAAAATAACTTGCAACCATACGTAAATGTAACATAAGTTGAAGGCAGTCAGAGTTTTAAAATAAAACTCCAAAATGGAAACAAAGATTTGTTTGCGTATATTATCATTGGTTTGAATTACTGTTTATAAACTTCCATGCTAACCGGACATTAATGTCCTTATATCAATAATTTTTTTTGGTGGTTTTTGTATCATAACAAAGAAAAGACCAACCCACAATATTTCTGACAGGCGCACACAGTTCTAATGTCGCATTTCTCCACTCATTGACAACGCAATGATAACGGAATTTTTCAGGAATGGTGCAGTTTTGTTGAACGCTTTGACAATCCTTATTTCTTTCACGCTCAGCCCAAGACATCTCTGTAGTAGGACAGGAATTAACTCTTTCCGTTGTTGAAGTAGATGCTAAACATGGTCCACGGGTTTCAGAAATCACCTGTATGAAAGAAGCAGAGGTAATAAAATGTTAAGTGATAAATTTCCATCTGTTTTCGTCTTTCCTGATTGAGATATTTGGAAAATCAAAACGTTTCTATAACAATCTACATTTTTTTCCATTTACACCAAACAAATCTAATCATTTTCAATTTGATTATCTTTTAACATTTTCAATTTTTAAGAAAAGAGGGGTTGTTGTTGCGTTTATGCAATACATTCGAGGTTGTTTTTTTCCGCTAGTTGGAAAGGCTCAAGAAATTGCGACTGCGAAGTAGCTTAAATTTCATGGCCTTTATCTTGTTTTCATATGGTCTCAACGCTGCCTTGAGGCTAGTCCTGTTTGACTTGAGACTTTAAAGTACACATCTTAAGGATTTCTGCTAAAAGTAGCATTTTTATAGGTTAAAACGTTCTTCTGAAAATAGGAAAAAAGACTTGAACTTACAAGTTTTACTTCAAACAAATTACAAAAAGAATTAAATCAATAAATAAATTTTGAAATTTTGCTTGTGCATTTTCTAGGCGTCAAAAATGGAAAATATACATGTATGCGGAATATAGTTGAAACATGTTGTGTTAAATCAGTTTTCTCCTGTTTTTTTTTTCTTAAGAATCAGCAATGTATATGTACATTGTAACTGACATACATTTTGTATATGCTGGATGAGTAAGGAACAATGGGCCAACGCTGACAAAGTTGTTGCAATATCATGCACAGAACAATTGGTCAACCTAGGCAAAACCATAAAAAACTCTAACTATTCTGTTCATGCGGAACAATGGGCCAACCTAAGCCCAACAACTGTAAATAACAAATGTGTGCAGGGTTTTATAAGGAATAAAGGAGGTCTTAAATAGGCTCGTTTCCTTATGGTTTGATTTTTTGTTCATTGATTAATGTCCCTCTCTAGAATGTATCTACTCCTATGGAGACTCAACAGTGTTCTTAGAAAGAATAAAACACGTTTTACCGTTGTTTTTTTTTGTTCCTATACATTCTTTGATTCGATGCTTTGAAAGCTAACAAGTTTGTAATTCGTTTGGAAAAAAATATATTTACTTCATTTATTTTAGAAGTTTAATCCAAAGGCAGATCAAGCGCCGGCGCTAAGACATCTACCAGGGCTTCGCCCTTGACCCAAGCGGGGCTTCAATGCAGCCCAAGACACCCTGCCTTCTACTACACCCATATGAACTTCCTGGATCCCCCCTTGTACATGTATTATATCACTAATATTTTGAATTGCATTAGGAAATATCTTTGATTGTTCATTGCTATCTAGTAAAATATACTCCTTGCTTGATTTCAAACTCAATGTGCCATTTCTGTTTCAATTACATTATTATCAGAAGTAAAGAAAACAATGTTTTTTTTCCCTTAAATCTTAATACATAAGAAACATAAGTAAATAATAATACTTTGAAGATTTCAGCTAGTTTAAAACCAGCCAAGAATCCCTCCTTTTTTGCTGAAAATGTAAAAGCAATATGTGCAAATACATTGTATTTCTAATACATAATAATATACGTAAAAAGTTTGGTGTAATTGGCCAATGTTAACCCATCCACGATTGTCTAAATAAACTTTATTGCAAGATTTATATGACAAGAAGACAAACTGAGCCGACGCTAGTAAAACCACAAGAGGCAAATGTATCCTAATATTACCAATACATGTAAGTGAAGTTTATCACACATTGACCCACCATTGGTACATCTATGTTATTCCGATATTAACGTAAAACTGTCAACATTTTAAATAGTTATTAACGTTGGGTAATGTAATGGCTAGTGGTGACAACGTTGTACACTTACATGTAAAAGTCCATCAAAGTGAACACTAGCTCCATATCTGTAGCTCGCTGGTCTGAAAAAAAGGGATGGGCGACTAGACAGCTTAATTTACTAGTGCCACCCACAGAGTGCGCTGTTTGTCATCTCCCTCGGGAGATGACACATTAAGATTGTATGCCGGAAGTGAAGTCCTAGTGTAAGCCTCCATTAATCTTTCGGGAGTCCTCGAAGTTTTACAGAGTTCCAAGTAGCATGTTAACTGGTTTTCTTTTAGAAGAACTAGCTTAGGAGTGTGTGATCTACTTTCGGTTTCGCCTATTTGAAAGCCAAGGAAAATTTAGAAAAGAAGTACGATGCCTGTAAATATCTATAGTTTCGGTGTGTCGTATATATATTGATGCTCAATACTATGCCTTATTAAATTGGTAAGCCACACAAGGAGAATTGACAATGGCGTGATTTCTATATATAGATTTGTTGACGCGAAGGGAAAACTGGTTCTCGCACAATAGAACAAGCTTACAATTAGATTCTGCAAAAATGAACGAAGAGTGGCGAACTCTAATTTTATGTTAATTTTTTAGTCTGTAATTGGATTTATTAAATTAATTCCTGTCAAACTTTAATGATTAGCTGCTTTTAAATGAATGATAAGTATTGTTGATAATTCCGTATTGTGTTAAGAAAATATGGTTCAAGGAAAGTATTTGAATTTAAGTAAATTGTAAACATCCAGAAGCACAAATACCGCTAGAATGAAATTTCACCAAAAATCGCCTTGGGTGCTCTCGCAGACGTCCATGCTTTCCATATATATACTGCGGCCAAAAGAAACTGCGTACTTTACTGTGGAGTTTGCTGAATAAGTCATTTGGGAACTTCAGGTGTAATAATCCATATACTCATTGCATTAAAACATTTCCCTTTCTGTTTTATTTCTTTAACAATATTGATACCAAAGAGATGACATTTCAGGCTTTCTGGAAAGCCAAGCTAGTTATTGAATTGTTTCTACATATATTTAAATACGTTCCGTACATTTTTTCGATACATTCATAATTAACATTTGCCAAAAACTTGTAAATAATTCTCCTGGGTCTGAAATTGAGAACCACAAAGGTTCACCTATTTAAACTGACATATTAGGTGGCAAGGCAATTCGGTGAAATCCACTTCCTGAATAGATAACACCGTTCTAGGCTATTTCAATGACGAGTTACCCAAGGGTAATGTCGTTACTGAGAAAGGAAATAAAATATCACTGAATCAACTGATAATGAACGATATAGATTTATGGTAGTCTTTATAATGAATAATTACCTCTGCCACCGAATAAATTGCTACGAACAGTTTAAATGTCCAACCATACCTGCAATATTAAAAAAAGAAAGAACTATAATCATTCGTGGAATCCCATTTTTAGATACGAAGTCAAGGTTGGCTTAACCTTCGTTTTCTGGAATGTTTGATTCTGACAGTCATCGTGATTAAATTATGTAAACAAGATATGTTTTATGGAATTTTCTTTTTTATGAGTTTCTGTTTCAGTTTCGATACCAAAATATTTGATACACATTTTCTACTACATTTGTTTTGCCAGATAACGTTTAACTTTTTTCATAAAGTAACAATTAATAATATTGTTATACAGGTTATAAATATTCTATCATTCGATCTCAAAACTAAGGAAAATTAAAAAAAAATTGTATGGGGATAGTTCTAAAAAACTTTGTCTTACATATTACATTTATCAGCAATTACATATTTAGAATTTAAAATAAATTTTCAGAACATCTAAAAAGTCCTGCAAATGAGTCCTAAAAAGCCGATGATGAAACAGAAATTAACCAGAAGTCTAGATCAGTAATAAATATATTCTGTATCGCACAAAGAGGGCCAAACAATTTGATTCAGAATGTCTTTATATCAGCCTTAATGTAATTGGACTTTCTTTTATTCTGATAAAAGGCATATACGAAAATGCAAAAGTAAATATCCTTGAGATTCATGATATTTTTTTAACATATCATTGTCTTTGAAATAAGTTACACATGTACTTTCAATAGTGGCATTGTCATTCACACCAGTTACAAATAGAACAAGAGGCCCGTGGGCCATATCGCTCACCTGCGTACTGTAGCTAACAAAAAGTAGAAATTGGTTTATTATAAAAAAATTTAAATCCAAAAGTAATCCCATGACCAATCATGGATTTGCTAGCCTATTCTTTAAAGAATTTTCCTATATATTTCTATGCAAAACTTTGGTCGGCCATTCTGGTCCCGCCCTACCCCCAGGGGTCATGATTTGAAAAAATTGAATATACATTACCTGAGGATGCTTCCATATAAATATGATGAATTATGGCTTTGCTATTCCTGAGAAGTAGATTTTAAAAGAATTTTCCCATATATTTCTATGTAAAACTAGTGACGGCAATTTTGGCCCAACCCTGCCCCCAGGGGTCATGATTTGATGAAACTGAAATCTACACTACCTGAGGATGCTTCCATATAAATATGATGAATCATGGCATTGTCATTCTTGAGAAGAAGATTTTTAAAGATTGTTCCTATATATTTCTATGTAAAACTTTGGTCGGCCATTTTGGCCCCGCCCTACACCCGGGGGTCATGATTTGAACAAACGTGAACCTACACTACCACCTGAGAATGCTCCCATATAAATATGATGAATTATGACTTTGCTATTCTTGAGAAGATTTTAAAAGAAGTTTCCTATATATTTCTATGTAAAACTTTGGTCGGCCATTTTGGCCCCGCCCTACTCCCGGGGGTCATGACTTGAACAAACTTGAATCTACACTACTTGAGGATTCTTCCATATAAATATGATGAATTATGACTTTGCTATGTAAAACCTTGGTCTTCCTTTTTGGCCCCGCCCTACCCCCGGGGGTCATGATTTGAACAAACTTGAATCTACACTACCTGAGGAATGCTTCTATATAAATATAATGAATTATGGTATTGTCATTCTTGAGAAGAAGATTTTTAAAGAATTTTCCTATATATTTTTATGTAAAACTTTAGCCGGCTATTGTGGCCCCGCCCTAGCCCCAGGGGTCATAATTTGAACAAACTTGAATTTACACTACGTGAGGATGTTACCCCATAAGTTTCATCTTTCCTGGCACAGTGGTTCTTCAGAAGAAAATTTTTAAAACATGCCACCAAATTGTCATTAATTCCCAATTATCTCCCCTTGAATGAAGGTGTGGCCCTTCATTTGAAGAAACTTGAATCCCCTTCATCCAAGGATGCTTTGTGGCTAGTTTTGTAGAAATTGGCCCAGTGGTTCTTGAGAAGAAGTCGAAAATGTGAAAAGTTTACAGACAGACAGACGGACGGACAGACAGACGGACGGACAGACGTTCAGACGGACGCCGTACAAAATGTGATCAGAAAAGCTCACTTGAGCCTTCGGCTCAGGTTAGCTGAAAATTACTATGAAATGGATGATCATCACATTAAATCAATTCGGAAATATCAATTATATAACATATAATGATTCTTAAATCAGCGTTTCAGTATTTTTTATATATATGGTAGAATGATATAACCAAACATAAATATCTATTTTATTTTCTGAAATACATATATATAATTAAGCTGAACATTCAACTATATTCTAAAAAGGGATAAAAATATGTTATAAATGTTGTTAATATACTCACATTTTGTTCCGTTGCATTTTATAAAATGAAAAGTCTTTTTTGAATAAAGTCCGCCTTTCAAGTTTATTTCCAAGAAAATTCCATGTTAAAAAAAGGAACAACAAATTGAGCTTAAATTCAGTTGTGTCTAGTATGTTAAGTTGGTTTAAATGCAGGTAACCTTTCTCATGAAAAAAAAAAAAAATTGGAAACGCGCCATTCATGGTATTGATGTTAAGTATGTGAATATAGGCATAATGGCTTACTGTATATGAATTTGATTTAAACATATTGTATAGGACTCAGTTAATGGGATTGGACCCAAGCTAAACAAACTGAGATTGTCCTCTCCAACACTAACAAAATAACAACATTATAAACATTTGTTGTGCGAGCAACTGATATACAGTAATACAAAAAAAGTAGGAAAAGGGTGCAGGTAAATTAGAAAGGGATGTAATGATGGTGAAAGGCAATAAAAAAGAAGGAGTTGTTGTAAAAGATACATATACAGAATGGTTATGCTGGTTATTCATAAAATCTATTGATTATTTAATGTATTTATGAACAGCTTTAACATTATTGATATTATTTTGCTGACCAAAATTTGGGTCCCCAAATAATATAGTGCTAAGGTTTATTGCGCCGTATCTTGTATAGTATCTGATCCAAGGATACTTGCATCGTGTCTCATTCTTATCAAAATTGAGGTTTTTTTTCACCATAACGAAAATATTTTGTTGCAGATTCACCTTTAAAAAGCTTTTTTGAAAGCATTTAATTGTATCGAGTTTTCTAATCTCGAATAGAAATATTGTTATTACAAATGCGTAAATCATAATGGGTAGTTTGTTAGATATCAGAAGGTAATATGTTTCATAAAAACTCTGTAACATATTTTATTTTATTCATAAAACACATTTTTCTCTTTTCCCGTCTATAGGGAATCGTTTCCATTCCTGTTTCATAATGTAGACACTTACGAGGAGCATAAATAGGAAGTAAAGTGACAATACGCGCAGTTTTTAATTGTAACTACTCCAGCTTATCAGAGTTAGCTGTGGAAATATCATCCCATACAAAATAAATTTAGAAATGAAATGATATTCATCAGATACACAAACAGCTGTAGCTACATATATTTCGGCATGTTGCATCCACACATTATGACCTCAGAATAAAAATATATGCATACATTAATTATGAAAGTTTTGAAAATGTTCTTTTCTTCAAGAGGTGCGAATATGTTGTATGTTTGCTCTTTAATAATTTACTTTTAACAATATCAAATATCTAATATAAAAAAAAACAAATGTATTGCAACAATTAATTGCAGTTAACTACAGTCATGTACAGCTTTTGAACGTGATATTTTATAAACCTACATTTGATGTAAATTGTAATTCTACGGAATACTTTCATTATGACACTATAATTTCCTTTTAATTTGCAACAAAACTCTAAAATCTTATAAACATATTAAACTTGTACCTTTGTAAAATTAAATCGATGCAACAAAACTCGAAAATTTTATAAACATATTAAACTTGTACCTTTGTAAAAAATCGAATTTTTTATGATAACATGTAGCGAGGAAAAATAAACGGTTTCATGAATGCAATATTGTTTTTTTTATATTAAAGAAAAGAGAGTAAAGACCTTTAACTATGTTATCTTTTTCGTAATAATTTAACAATGCTATTTTCACAGATTAAACTCCAGATGGTATCGATACTATGTATTGTGACAATTACATGTATTTAACATGTAATTATAGTTTAAGTAAGCTAGAGATCGGATGTGAATTAAATTCCAAGATTTACAATATATACCTAACATTTAATATTCATAAGTTCCTAATTCTAAAAGAAAAAAATGATTATTCAAGTTTAAGATTCATTTAAGCTTTAGGGAATTTTTTTAAAAACCCTGACGCGTCCCCAAAAAGAATAATGTACGGTGCATGTACAAGAAATGAATTTTAATGTAAAGTTTGTCTCTTGCAATGATAAATAAGCAACATTTACAAGGTTTGTTCGAAAAATTAGCACAATATTACGTGTAACAATATCTATTTGATGTGTAAAGTTTGATTTCATTTGGTTTAATAGAAATCAATTTATTTCATTTCAACTCAATTTGTTACGTAACCACGGAGCACACTTATCGGTAATGTAACGTCACAAACACGGCGCCAAGAATTTCTTTAAAATAGTATGCCTATACATTTCACACAGTATACTTCAATAATCATTTAATATAAACCGTTTTGTAGAATGTGATATTTATTTTTCAATATATTATTCTCGTTGTATGATTTCCTTTGTCAATGTTTTAATTTCTGTTACCACATAACTGTGCTTTCACAAGACCAGCAACTCTGAAGCGCCTAATTAACACTGCAACATTTAAATCTTGACAGGACATGGCCAGGATGTTGAGGTAGCCATTCGAAATGACAGATAACTTTTGCTTGTCATCTCTGTACATATGTTTGGGAACTTTATGATATAATATGAAGTAGACATGGTTGAGGCGTAATTAATAAACTATACTTCTAATATTTAAAAAGTCCAATATATCAGATTCATTAACACCAACTCTATATCTAGGTGATATATCGAGAGCAAGAGGTCCATTGGCCTTATAGGTCACCTGACTGTCATGTAAAACTTTCCATCAATAAA